GTCATTTAATCGATAGTTTGGCTAATAAGTAAGTATCTTGAATAAGTAAAGATGAAAAGCAGAAGTCATAACATATAATAGCAAAATAAATGAGCACACATAAGTTTTTTCTTAAGATCTATTTTTATTTCATTGTACCCATGAGTTTCTTTTGTTTGTTTTTGTTTTTGCTTAGCCATCTATTTGTCTCTAGCCTTATAACCAGCAGAGATCATGAACCCTGTGAGAAGCAGAGGAAGAGGAAGGGACTAAAAGTGTTACATGTGTACAGGCTCTTACAGTCATCATTTTACTTCCTTTTTAACATTTTTTAGCAATCCTGTGAGGTAGTCATTCATTCATTCACTCATTAATGTATTCATTCAGTTTAGCTGGTCCTGGGAACCTGCCATCCTTTGAGTTCAGGACAGCAATTGCCCAGTATCCCTGAGCTGGTGGCAAAGCCAGATCTGAACCAGAGACTTCCTCAGCTCTGTGGCTGGGTTGTGTGTGTAGCAACATTCAGGAAAATGTATCCTGTGAATGACACAGGATGGAGGAAAATCTATTACACTGGCCTTTTTACACATTAATTACGTAAAATTCATTTCTCTGACAGAACAGCTGATATATTTCTCATTTTACAGATGAAGAAATGGAAACATAAATCTTCTTGCTATACAGCCACTATTCCCCTTTGAGCCACAATATCTAGAAATACTTTTGTCTTTTTAAATCAGCAGCACAGGTGATATTCTTGCATTGTTTTATGGGTCTGGACGTATTCTTGGAAATTGTACTCCCATCTACATTTCTATAGTCCATTTTTCAGTATTTCAGAAATTGTTTTAGCTTCTAATCTGGGCAAGATGCTAAATTTAAGGGCTAGGAATAGACTGATAAATAATAGAGATTTTTATCTCTGTATCTCTAAAGCTTATAGTCTGTGAGACCTTACAGACACTTAACTAATTACACAGTTAATTATGTAATTATGATTCCGATAAATTCAGAGTGCTAAAGGAATCTAGACCAGGAGGATCTGCCTTAGACTGAGAAAGTGAAATTTAAGCCAAGAATAAATGTTCCCTTGCAATTTATATAACCATTTACTAGCTTGATTATTAAGAATCTTTGTTTTAAAGTGAAAAATAAAAGCTAGAACATAAAATGTAAAGTAAAGCAGTTGTTGTTGGCTTAAATAGGTTGAGGCCAGTGAGATGGCCGTGATGCTGAGACCCGCTCTCCCAGTGCCTGGATTAGCATGAGCTACCCTGGGGTTAATCCGATGAATTTTAGTAAACCTCCCCACGAGCAGGGCCATTTATAAACTGCAGTTTAGTAATCCTTGGCATGCTTGCTACAGGCAGGGATGATGAAACCTGCCAAGTATGTTATGCGAAGTCAGTGTTAAGGAGTAAGTCACGTTTTCATCTCAGCACTTACCTGTATCTCTGTTACAGTATTAAGCATACTTTACTTTACTTGATATCTGCCCCTCTGTCTCCTTATTAGATTGAGAACCATTTGAAAGCTGGAACCTGTCTTACTCATCCTATTTATGATGTTTACACCTAATTATATAATTTTAGACATTTTCTATAGAAATGACATTTCTGATAATTACATTCTTTGATATAATAACATAAAAAAGAGTCATTCTCTAAAGGACTCTAAATCAATGCTTTTCATATTTTAATAGGCAAACAAATCACCTAGGGAATAAAATGTGAATTCTGATTCTGTAAGTCTGGGCTGGAGCTTAACATTCTGCGTTTCTCTCAAGCTCTCAGGTGATGCCCATGCTGCTGGGACCTGGGCCACACTTTGAGTAGCACAGTTTTAGGGAGAACATTGCTATGGCTGAGATACTAGAGTTCATGTTTAAACCAGAATTGGCCCACCCTCCCTTGCTGTCTACAGTAGGCAAGCCAGCTGCCAACAAACTGTGGAAGATCATGCAAACTACAGAAGCACAGAACAAGTGCACAAATATAAAAGAAAGCACTCAATTCCATTTCTGTTTTATAAAATAATAGGCCCACTTTCTGATAAATGCTGCAGTATGTCTGTGGTTACCAGGTTCATGACCCTAGTCAAAAGAACTAGAAAATACCAAGGGGTTATAAGGTTATTACTAGCACTTAGGCAGAGTGGGAGGGAGGATGATACAACATCTGATATTTGCTTTTGTTTGCAAACAGGTGCCAAGTGTCCCTTGTTCCATTTCCTTTTTGTCTCTCACCTGTGTTGCCACACCTGTGCTACAGGATCACAGCTGCCAGCATGCCTGCTAATCATGTTTGTTGGCTTTCAGATGATTGAGATTAAAAATGTTTTAACCTGTCAGCATAAATAAAGTTGCCTCTGGAAGTTTGATTATAACATACTGGACAAAAGTCCTGGGGTTTTTGTAATGAAAATTCAGCAATATTAATGGTATCCTCGTATGTTTTGTAGCACAGATGTGCTTAGATTTGCATTCTCCTTTGAATTGTGCTCTAATTTAGGGACTTCTAAAGAGAGGATATTGATAACAGCACACATAGATTTTTCTGATGAAGCTAAAACATTTGCCTAACTTTGAGATTTGGATTGTGCATTTGGAAAAAGATGGTTAGCATGCTGAATTTAAAAACTATTTAAGAAGCCACAGACTTCTAGGGAGCAACAGCTCTGACTCCTGTTTCCCAGGCTCAACTCATGAGATTGGAAATTCTGTTTTACAACTACTGTTCTTCATGGAATTAGATAGATTTCTTCACTGCATTATGTATGAAAAATAATTGCTTTAAGTAAATTGCTTAATTTAAAAAAAGAGGTCTTCTAATGTAGCGCAAAACAAGAAGCAGGCAAAATATATAGTATGAAACCCAATTTTACAAAGTTCAAAAACCAGCAAAACTACATATGTTGCCTGGGGATACATCCATATAAATCAAGACAATTGCAAACAAAATTCGTGATTAGTGGTTACTTCTGGGGAGAGGAGACAGCAGGGTTGGATTGGGGAGCCCACACAGAGAACTCAAACAGTATTGGTAGTATCACATTCATACACACACTAAAGGACACTTGGGCTGTTTTTAGTTTTGTACTATTATGAATAAAGCTGCTCTTTAGCCTCTGTTCTTTAGCCTCTGACTCATTTGTGTTTAACCAAGAAGATGACCATTTCTTCAGGCTTTATTTGAATGATTATTTATAAAAGGAAATTAGACTTCAGGCCTCTGCAACTCAACCATCAGTGTCTATGCCCACATTTGAGATATCTTTGTAGAACCCAAAGTGAGCGTCTGATGTATAATATGGTGTTTTGGCTTTAATATTTTTTGTATCAAAACATTAATTTGTCTATATAACTAAAATCTTCTTTTGTTCATGTAACAAATGAAGCATATCCTGATGCCATTTTTATCGTCCTTTATAACTTACAAAGGCAAAACTGCAATTTTCTGTTAAGCCGTTTGTCCCTTAAGGAATGGGAACCTATCAGAGCCTCCTTATACAAAGAGTTTGCTCCATAGACATTTGCTCAACTAATGCCTTTGATCTGTAGAGTTGATTGTGAGGGTATTTGTAAAGGACGGGATACACAGAGGATGGATAAGGTGCAGTTGGACTTTAAGCCTAATGCCCTCATCTTACTGCTTAGCTCCAAATATTGAATAAATCTCTAAATTTTTAAAGTCTCTTTTAAAACCAAGAAAAAACAATTAGTAATGACACCCAATTAGACCTGCTACATGTTTAGAAAAGGAAATTGGGTCTCAAGGTAAAGCAGACCAAGGAGGGAAGTAACTTCAGTACACTGGCTTCGAACTTGGAAAGTGCAGGATTTTCCCTCCTTCCACCTCCATCCCCCACGCACACACATACACGCAACCCACACATCTGAGCTGCTGTTCTGCTTCAGGGAAGATTCTGGTTTAAGTGTTTTCTGAAATCTCATGAGCCTAAAACAAAGCACATGGGTTATATGGCAGAATATGTTTTGAGGTGGCATAGTGATTTATTTGGTGACTTGTGTGTTTATAATTTAGGTGCTCATATTTTTATTGCTTTTATTTCTTTCAAATGAATGGCATGGTCCTCACTTTGCAAGGAAGACAAGAAGTCCAGGAACCCCCAAGGGCTGAACAAGCACTGTGCTATATGGTTGTAGCTGACCTTGGTCCTGGTGGTAACTGACCTGGACCTGCCCAGAGGCTTGGTTAGCAACAGGAGAGTGCACCATGGGGCTGTGGTATTCTGGGCCTTCTGTCAATGAGCCAACACTTGGGGGCCCCAGGAAATAATTTCATTATCCAGTTTGCTCTCTCTTTACTTTTTTTATTTATTTTTTTTAATTATTATTCCATTGCTCTTAACATAATGTCTAAATCTTCAACTGGGCATAAAATCTAAAATCCAGGCCCGATGTGGCCTAGTCTGTGCCTACCACAGGTCTTTGGTGTTTGCTCTTTGTTCTGCCTGGAACCTCATCTGCCCTCCTTCTCTTCCCCTGCATCTGTCAAGTACTCCTATGCACTCCTCAGATCTTGGCTTAAGTATAGCTTCCTCGTGGAAACCTTCCCTGACCCATCAGGCAAGGTCTCGAGCCTCTTCCATGTGCACTTGTGGTACTCTTTATTTTTCTTTACTCCTCCTCTCCCCTTTTCGGATAATATTGATTCTTGTTTTGCCAGTATCAGTACCCACTGACCCCCACCCCTCCCAGATCCCGACGAAGATGATGACCATGTCTCTGTTAACCATTGACTCTCCAGTGCCTGGTGTGGTGTCTGGTACTTAGTACCTGCTCAGTAAATATTTGTTGCATTAATGAATTAACTCCGGAAAATGGTCACCCCCTAAAATGTCCTCAGTATGTTAACATGGAATTTCTTATTTAAAAAATGGAATTAGTACCTGTTTTTAAAGGTCTAGGTATATATTCCTTTAAAATTATTGAATTGACCTTGAAGACTGTGACTGTAATTTCTTTTCTTTCTTTCTTTTTTTTTTTTTTTAAATTTCAGGTGGGGACCAGGGTTTACTGAATACGTTTTTTAGCAGCTGGGCAACAACAGATATCAGAAAACACCTGCCATTTATTTATAACCTAAGCAGCATTTCTATATACTCCTACCTCCCAGCATTTAAAGCGTAAGTGCAAATGGTTTAACTCTTCTTGAGGATGGTGGGGACAGGGAAGTGGGTTTAAGATTTTTTGGGTGCACTGTCAGTCTGATGGCAACAACAGGTGGGAACTTTGAGGGATGTCTTTCTCTTGTAAGAAACATAGCTATGTTGGGGAGAGGCCTTGATGTTTTCGATCTATTTATGCTTGGAGTAACTTAGCTAACTTATGAGAAAGGAGTCCCATCAGTTCCTGGGGTGCCTGGCCCTCTGATAAATCATCTGTATGTCATGGTCAAGAAAACAGGCTGGATGCAGACCCAACTACTTCCTCGTGCTGGCTGCTGAGTCTCAGTTTCCTCACCTGTAAAATGAGGGTGATAACAGTTCCCTCCACGGGGTTGTAGGCATTAAGCAAAATGCTGGCAGCAGTGTGGTGTCATGGTCAGGAGCAGGGGTTGGGGGAGCTGGACTATCTCAGTTCACTTCCTGGAGTAGCCACTTCCTAGATGGTTCTCTCTGCCTCAATGTACCATAAAGATTTTAGTGGGCATTGAGGGAGGTAATCATGTGAAGTGGTTAAAACAGGGCCTGGCCTTCCCTTAGGCACTCAATAAACATTAGGTTATTAGTCCTTTCTGTTTGAGAGATAGTATAACATAAGAGTAATTTCTGAAGTCAAGAAGGTAGGTCACATGGCCTCACTCTGCTGTTTACCTGCTACATGGCTCAGGCTCTGTGCCTCAGTTCCCTAGATGCAAGACAAGGAGAAAAATAATACCTACCATAAGGATGAAGTGAGCTCATATACTTAAAGTGCTCTGTTGTTTTTGGGAACATGCTTGCTTGGCATTGTCGCTGGTGCTGTTGTAATTCAGCAACCAATACAGCCTAGTTGCAGCACTTGTCTCACTGAGTGCCTGGGCCCTGTTCTTTAGCCTCTGACTCATTTGTGTTTAACCAAGAAGATGATTCAGGTTTCCTGAACGGAGGCCAAGCTGTCAGGTTGATCCTGAGACACAGCCGTGAACAGCAGAACTCTTCATTGAGATGGGTTGGCTCTTCACTCTCCATCCTACGT